ACTGTGCTATCCTGGTATTTATCAAGTTCATTTTCAACAAAAATATTTGATATAATTTATACCGATTAAAGAAAATAATAAATGTTTATAAACATATTTTAAAATTGAAATAAATTTTTATACCTTTGTATATTTTACATCTTTGTTGTCAATTAATTTGTTGATATACAGGGTATCACATTACTAGAGGTTAGGAAGAACTTTCTAGAAAGAATGCTCCATATGAGAAAGCAAATAAGAAATATAGGCTAAAATCTTTCTGCATCAAAACTTCTCTAGACATACGTGTATTCAACTATATCCTAATTGTTAATTTACATTTATCTATGTTTATTGTGTTTAATAATACAAATAAATATGTACTGATGTATATAGCAAATACATAAAAATGTACAATAAGAGAAAATATATAATTTTAGAACAAAATTCGTCAAATAGAAACAATATCTAATATGGACAAATTTTATTTCACATTTTTCATTAATTTTTTTCACATAGAATTAGTACTTTGTTATTTGTATCTTCAGTTATATGATACTCTAAATAAGCCTGCGAATATCTAATATGAACATGTCTTTATCAAGTATAATAACCTTCGTATAAATTATATTACTGAATCGAAGCAATAATAATGCAGTAAGAAAGTTGAAACTACCATTAGTGCCTAGTACAATGATAGGAGTGTCGTAATAATGCTAAAGGGGTGATCAAAGCCACATCCGTTCTTTTTAATCGCAAGTCCCTCCTACAAATGTATTCAACGCGAATTCGAAACCTAATTCGTCGCCGTCTCCATTTTTTGCTCTCATTTTCACAACAGACATAACAATGACTTGGCCTCTATGAGTCCCACTAGGGCAGCGTACGCCAGTGCGAAGTGCGAGTGTCAGAGTTGTAAATCCGTTTCCCGTCGATCTCGACGCCAGGGCCGAGGTCAACCAGCAGCAGGACGCAGCCGACTCGATGACTCTCTACTTTCTGTTTTTATTCACCGCTGGGATCCTTGCCAGCGGATTCTATGTCTCGAAGAAGATCACAGCTATCGCGGTAAAATAGCCTCGTTACTAACCGCGATCCTCTTGCATGGTTATTCAATGACTCTGCTAAATGCCTCGATTATGACACTGTATTTTGTGTGTTTACGTTCTTGGAAGTGATACGAAAATTATAGAAATATCTTATTGGTGAATTAATTGGAAGCATGCAACTCTGTGCGAAAATACTTCAGTATCCATATCTAAACAGTATTCCAGGTAATTATAATTATTATCCCTGCAAGTCATTTGTTGACTTTGTATCTTTAATTTGAAAATTTATTACCTGTTATAGCTTAGCGAATAGATCGCCTAACGCCTTCAATCCAATGGCAAGTACAGCCATCTACTTGCCAGGCAATAGGTATATTGAAAATTTATTACCTGTTTTATAAGTTTGATTGTATACGAGTTGTCTCTTCATACTATTCTATGTTCTATCATTATCAACTGCCAAAGATAAATAAAATTTTTTAACGTTTTCTTTTCTCTTTCTATTATCCATCTTATTTTTATATCCTTTTGCAGCATGTTTTACTTGAAAAGGTATCTTATATACCTATATTATTTTTTATTAACTGTTCTCATGATTTTAGTAAATTTTGTTAGACTATGCATAGTCAAAAAAATAAAATTTTTCATGTTTTCCAGTACATTGTAAGAAATAAATCTTATATTTTCCTTAGTATCATATAAGTAAAAACAAGATGACAGGCAAATCCTTAGTATATGTGCCTGAAATAATCATATATTCATATAAATATATATCTTCTTTATAAAATTGATAAGCTTAAAAATCTAGGCACGTTTTGAAAACGGGAAAACGGGAATTTAAAGCAGACAAGAATAAATCGAAGAGATGATGTCTCTGAACAGCGAGTCACTTTTAAATTCCTGGCGAATGGTCGGTTGTACGGCGTATATGTCAGACGCTAGGAGCATTTAACTTCGTCCGCATTTCAGTGGAACGAGGAATTTCTCCGAATATAAAAGTATATACATAAATGACGTACGAGTTTCTTGCGCGCATCTTTCGAGAAGTTTCCCGTTGGATGAAAGCGGACATGCGCCCAACTGTTTCTCGGGACAAGCTCCCGGTCGTGTCGGGCGATGGGACGAGCAAGCAACCTCCACTCCGTACCCTTGAACCTAACAGACGCTCGCAGCGTTGCCGCCTCGTGCAACTATGCCGTGTCGTTTCGTTCGGCTACACTCGGCTTCTCTCGGTGGTGCTTTCTTCGTAAGAATTCCGCGTCCGGCGTCCGGCGTCGTTGGTGGCTGGCGAGACGCCGAGTATGCTGACGTCACGCCTTGGCGTTACGCGTAGCGTTACGTAAAAAACGTGATGCTGAACTGTTTTACTCTACATGTACCAGCAGCACAATGTACTCTCTATGTACAAAAAAAAGAGACGAAGAAAAATTTGTAACTATTTCGGTAAGAAATTATAATCTCAAAAAAACAAACAGAAGAAAAATAAAACGGAGACGATAATCTTAGTATGCAAACACAAGAATACTGTTAGCCGGTTTTTATGGTTATGTGACGTGCGTTAGTAGTTTTTTCTTTCGTCGTACATTGGCCTTGCCGTTCTGGATCTAGGTTACGCTCAATCATGCTTTCTCCGTAAGATTTCCGTGTCTGTCGACGACGTTGGTTAGCAGACACACTGCACATTCTGACGTCACTTGCCGGTGTTACGTAGAAAAAACTGTGTCCCCTGAACTTGATTAACGCATCATAACGTTCTCTCGTGACTTTAATCATAATAAAATTGTCTTGCACGTTGTGTGGATCAGCAGTGAGATTATCTTTGTGTGTGTTCAACGAAGAACAAAACTTTTCTTCTTTTTTGTTTCATAGGACATTGACCTTGCGTTTACAACCATCGTGGATCTGTGCTGCGTTTGAGCATGCTTTCTCCACAAGAATTTCATGTCCGCCGACGATGCTGACTAGCAGACAACATTGAGAGTATAAGTTGACGTCACACGCAGTGTTGCGCGTAGCGTTACGTAAAAAAACGTGGCTGACGAATCAGAAATGCATTGGTCTATTACTGTTAAGGCCGTGTGATGAATTGGCTATACGGTAAAATAACGAAGTTGGCGTACCCCATTACGATGAAAAATAGCCGGTGTAGAGTTGAGAATTCTTTTACAACTGTATTCCAATATGAAAATAATGTATCATCAAAAAATGTTTCGTGTATGAAATAATTGTAACGAAACGAACGAATCGTAATAATTTATGAAATATTTCATTTTCTTTTTCAAAGATATATCAAGAGAAATATATGGACAAAATATCGCTTTACCGTAAATCGCGACTGAAAGATCTCCTTCCTTTACCTCCTCTTTACTCTCACTCACTCTTTCTCCTCGCGTCTGTCTCCCGTTCGCACGCTCGTGTGCCATTTACGAGACAAACCGGTTTACGCTTTTTGCGAACCTCGGCTGCACGAAGAATGTTGATTTTTGCGATATATACCGCTGGGAACCTAACCTACATCATTATCCGGATGAGCTGGCCGCACTTGAAGTCTCGTTTCCTTGCAGACCTTGAATTCTTGTATGATTTTATTTTTCGTTTCCATTATTAACGCGACGGGGAATGATGCATTCGAGAGTATTCAAGACGAATGTCCTCGGGATTCGTGACTCGACAAGTAAAACCCTTTCGATACACACGAGGCTGGCATCGGCGAAATGAAAAACGTGTACGTATGCCTAAGATCAAAAATTCAGTCACGACGAAAGAACGACTTCATGGTCGGGGACAAATTCGGCAATGTCTCACTGTTTCTCATTCATAGCACGAACTATGGCCGAAAATATTTTTACTACCGAACGCGTGTGGCATGCACCTCCGTTGATTAGCGTAAGTGGCTATTGTTCTCACTAACCTACAGCACTATACTCATTATCATTTTTCATTCGTGACGATACTACCAAAGAATTACAACGGCCTCTCGATAACCACTCCATGGCTGTGCACGTTAACCGTTCGCTGTGACGAACAGCGCTAAAAGCGCGCGAAAATTGAAAAGTAATCGATGCAACGAAAAATATCTTCTTATTTATAAAGTTATATTGTAATTTACTGAATTATAAGTTTAAATTACAATCACCCAAATATGGTTAATATGCTTTTAAAAAATTGTTAATAATCATTATAAATCGTGAAATTATTACTTTGAATAATAATTTTCAATGTATTACGATTCTACAAGTAACTTCATTTAAAATGCTATATCGTTCTATATATATTTGCCTAACATTTATATATAAAATAGTAAACAACATAATTACGTTAAATACTATATGAAGTTCATTTTGATGCAAGTACCGACGAGTACTAAACGGGTCTTACTGTATGTGCAACAAGAAACCGGTTAGACGAAACTTTCGAAAATTCCAGAATGACGTAGTCTTTCTCGTGTGTATACATGTATCGTGAAGATACACAGTCGTGTTTCTCCCATCGTTCTTCAATTTACAGTTACTTACGTAAGATACACTCAAGCTTCTTTCTTGATTCTTCGACGCATAGCAATCAGCTTGGTCACGTCTTATCGGGTATAAAGGAAACGTGAACCTTATCACGAACGATTATTGAAATACCTTATTCGCACAGAATCGCTTTCTACAAATATAGATTTTTCTTACTTACCTTAGTTACGTTCTTAATTATCATTGCATTACGATAAAACACTTGTGGGGTCATTTATGTTTAACAAACACACCGAACATGAATGATTTGCGTTATCGTAAATATCAATATACGTGTTGAAAAAATATACAACGAAAAAGCATTTGTCAATAAAAATGCAATTTATATTATCTAATCTATGATTCCAATTTTGGAACAGATTAATTCTTTCGATTCAGAATTATGCAAATTTAGTAGTTCTAAATTGATACTAAAAATTAAGCATAAGTAAAGATACAAAATGGTAATACTCACGTTACTGCTGAGAGAGCAACAAACGTTGTAGAAGACTTGGGAACATTTGGACTTTGTTGTCTTTTTGTGGTTTCTCCGGAAGCAACTGTATATATTAAAAATATAATAATAATTAATAATAAATATGTAAAAAGAAATATTTTATAGGCATGTTATAATGAATTAATATATAACGCACCATAACTACAACTACGCTGTTCGCTTGGAGTTCCAGTAAGTTTTTCTTCAGTTCTAGATGTTAATATTTCATTAATTCTCCAATCTTGTATTTCCTTGCGCAACACAGTAACTGGATCATCATCATCCATATCATCATAGCTTCTGTTATCGATGGATTCTGTATATTCTTTGCAATCAACCTTTTTCATTTTCATAATTTCATTTTGAAGAGGAATATTTATCACACGTTGATATTTTGTAGTAAAGTCATTTGTCCATTTTCCTTTTTTAGGTAACAGCTTATTCTTTATAGACATTTTCATAGATGACCGTTGCTGTGACTTTATCGGATGTGATTTTTGACTGGTTACAGTATTCAGAGTTTTACCGATTGTAGAAACATTTTGATTATCATGTGACATCTTGGAAATTTTATGATAATCAATTTTTTTGCTTTTATTCAATTTTCTGAAATAATATAATTATAATAATACATAAGTTTATAAAATTGACAATTAATAGCAATTTCACTTAAAAATTCATAAAAAATTACATTTATTTATAATTAAATATTTAAAATTACACAAAAATTATTTAAATGTATAAATGATTTTGCCACATCCATATAAATATATGTAAGTGTAATTAAATAAAATAAATTAAATAAACGAATAAGAAAAATTGTAACACTGCGCCATCTATACAAAGCAGCGTTCGTTGCGGCAACAATTTTCTCACGGTAGTATAGTAATTACAAATTTAATCACTAAAATAACATTGTACTAAAGGAAAAAAGAAAGCAAAAGTTATACCTTATTTACTTACTTAAAGCTTTACTAATTGGTGACAGATACAACATTGCTGTTAAGAAAGTAAGGAAATATGATAGTAACAGCATTAATAAAACATTGTGATTTAAGAAACACAAGAATTTTGTAGGTAACATTTTTTTAACTTTGACAAATTTAACTAAAGTTTGATACAATATAAATATCATTATATTTATAATGACATACACTAAATTAAAAATGTCTATCGCGTCAATTTTGCTTGAATTATGTTCAAAATATAGAAATGCACTTGTACAATATAATGTATATTTAAAAATTTTGTTGCTTTTACGAACCCCCGTTTATATCTGTTCTTACACTATACAATATTAATAAAGAAGTATACAATATAATACAATAAAATATTTAAAAAATTTGATAGAAAAACATTTTTAAACGAATTACTTTAAAAAGTTTATTATAAACAATATTTACTATGATTATTATAATTAAATATTATTTTCAATATTTTTTTTTAATTTTAATATTTTATCAAATATAAAATTATAATATGCACATTATATATATATATGAAATTTTAATACATGCTATTAAATTTTCATATATATCAAATTAAATTCAATACATTAAAGCAGACTATATTATTTTAAAAATGGTAATTAATATTATACAAATTATTGTATATTACAAACAGTATATGGAAAATGTAACAGTCTTCTTACCTTGAAAATAAAAGAATCTTGACACATCCGAAACAAAGGCCAAACTTACTTTGACTGAATACCACAATTAACTGCTGACATGAAACATCTGCTCGTTTTCTACTATAGTTTTGTCTTTTGTGCAGTTTTATTGATAAATTCTGTACGGTAATAATAAACAACTTTCACACTGATTCGTAGTTGATCGATTAGTTACACATTCGAGACTATATATATTTAACATTACTTAAAAAAAGACAAAAATTCTCTTGATATGAGGCAATAATTACAAATTTTTAATCATTCAGTGATTAAATGAACGTTTATCAATATTTACAAGCAAAAATATATACAACAAATAAAAGTAAAAGTAATAAATACTTTTTAAGTTTGTCATACTTCATTTATTTTATATACTTATTTATTATTAAATTCCACTCTCTTCAACTAACTTCACAAACATGATATACAGTCTGATGCATACATGTTTCGACATGAGGAAAATTCATATAAATTCTAAAAACTTCTACAATTTTATTGCGAAGAAAATAAATATATAGCGACTAATTAAAATTAAATATTTTCTCCATGCACAATTTTTTTAATTAAATTGTAATGCAATGAGTATACACCATGTATTTATCACCAATGTAATTAGCCATAAGAAAGGTGCAACAAGAAAGAAATCGAAATTCAGATAACAGATACTTATTAGATAATTCTCCTTTGTAATCGAACACGTAATAATTCTGCAATTTCTCGTATATGTAAGAAACACAATTTATTTGCATGCTCTTGTATAATGAACATTAATTTCTACAGATACTAATTAATTAATCGATCAAACCATGTCACTTTGTTTCACGTAAACAAGACTTATCGACACGAAGTGCACTGCACAACATTCGATCGCGTAAGCATTAAGCGGCACCTATGCACACGACGTTACGAGTACAAGTAACAATTTAAATATCGCTAGAATGATATAACAATTTACGTAACGTATAGTTGCACATCGTAGCAATATCAACCTACATATTAATTAATTACTGAAATCGCGCTTGTACATGCTTCTAAAATAAGACGTAGTTTGACGGGCGAGACACGCGATTAAAAAGTCAACAGCACCGCTGCTGTGAGATTACCGTGGCGACTGAGCAAAAATAACCTGCATACTGCGCTTCGTGATAATGTAAATCAGTGAAATTACGTTCGTTTCGATTACGCTCAAGCTGCTCATATTTGCGTTTCAATTCGTTAACATCGATAAAAAAAAATAGTTTCACTGTCTTGGACGTGGTAATTATATAACGCGCTGTATTCAATTCATTTTTTGGTTATGTTCGATAAGCCATGTGTTTGGCATAATCTATGCAGTGCAATCAAAGAGTGCATGTGCAAAAAGTGTTTGAAAATTGAATAGTTTATAAAATCTTTTCAAATGTAAGGATACATATTTTAATTTTCAGTCTCATTTGGAAAATATATACAGTACTGGACAAAAGTATTGGCACAGCATGGTTTTTGTGGTTCAAGTGCTTATAACTACTAAACAAATTGATTTGAAGGAAAAACTTTTTGACATATTCATTTATTATCTATTCTAGTTTTATTACATAGTAGAAGTAATAAAATAAATACATTGATTCACGTAACAATAACAAAAATGTATTTATCGAACATTTTATGGGTGGACAAAAGTATTGGCACACTCGAATAAAAACGTTTAAAAATGACTTGAAATTAAATATTAATATTTAGTTGACCCTGCTTTCCTTTTAAGAACTTCGTTTAATTGTTTGGGCATTGAATCAATTAACTTTTTTGTAAAATCCGGCTCGATTTTATTCCATTCTTGTAAAAAAATATTCTTTGAGTCTATTTTGCATGTTATACGATGTTTTCGAATCTTTTTTTTCAATTCATTCCAGACATGTTCGATAGGATTCATACCTGGACTTTGGGGTGGTGTATATAGGGAATAAGAAGTATTATAAATGATCCAATGGCGTACGATGTAAGCGGTGTGCTTTGGATCGCGGTCTTGTTGGAAATAGAAATTCCGCGGGAGATTTAATTTTTCCGCACTTTTGAATAAATTTTGTTTTAATATATTTAAATATGTGCATTTATCCATAATATCATCTATAAAAATTAATTCGTCAACCACAGATGTTGCCATAGAACCCCACACCATAACTCCACCACCTCCATGTTTTACACTCGATTGTAAATTTCGTAGATCCAATTCAGTATTTGGCTTCCTCCAAACTAATATTCTACCATCTGATTTAAATATGTTAAATTTGCTTTCATCTGAAAACAGTATGTTGCTCAAAAATGTTGAATCCTTCGTTATAAATTCTTTGGCAAATTCAACCCTCATCTTTCGACTTTTTCCCGATATGTACGGCTTTCTTCGCGCAACACATGCAGAATATCCAGCAGTTTTTAATACCCTTCGCATAGTTTTCGAATTTACTTCTTTTTGACACTCTTTATTTAATATCATTCTGAGTTCCGAAGAGTTTAATTTAGGATTTTTCTTCACTTCGTTTACAATTTTACGTTTTTCTCTAACAGATAACTTGGGAGGACGACCACATCAATTCGCACTATCAAAATCTGATTGATTTATAAATCGCTTTACAATGCTTCTAATAGTGAAACGACTTTTGTTAACAATTTGTGATATTTCGCTATAAGATTTTTGCATTTTATACAAATTTAGTATTATTTCTCTTTCTTCACTTGTCGTTTCTTTCGCTTTTCTTGACATTATTACTTTTTCTTACTTTGCCTGTTGCTAAACGACTGAACTTTAGGATAATTGTTCTTAAAAATGACAATCGGGGTGTCACCTAACTAGATTTTAAAATGACGATTGGAAATTTTTCAAACAAATGCGGATATATTACATTTAGCATCGTGTGCCAATACTTTTGTCCACCCATAAAATGTTCAATAAATACATTTTTGTTATTGGTTCGTGAATCAATGTATTTATATTATTGCTTCTACTATGTAATAAAACTAGAATAGATAACAAATGAATATGTCAAAAAGTTTTT